AAAAAAACATTGACAAGTTTTTTCTTAACTTCAGCATCAATTTAGTGTAGAAGTAAAAAAATGATCAGTTTAACCATGAGGAAAGGGGAATGCGTACAATAGCTTAAACTATTTTATTTCGCTGTAGTGCCAAAGACCACATATGCGCTTACTTAAGAGTCATTTAGTTTCTGCCTTTTTTCGAGATCCCGACTTCTTCCTTGACATGTTCTTAAATCATTTTGCAGAAGAGACGGGGAGGGAAAATGAGGAAATATTATGTTGCTTTGTGACGACTGTTCCATTCTAAATAAATTTTACTTTATGATAGTTCGTGCTTCTATGTATAGAGTCGTGCCTCGATCAGCTGACCTCATTAAGTTCTCTTTGAAGTAATCGCCCTTCATAGATATGTGTGAAGTGGCGAGCACAAAGTTTCACAGCAGCAATGAGCCTGTTCCAATATCCGCCCTCTTTGGGCATATGTTGGCCCTCAAGCCTTTTGATTATACACCTACGGAAACGGCATCTCTGACTTCTGAATCTTCCGATATGGCTATGGAGGTAGATGTGAAGCCAAGCTGTTCAACACGTGTTGTGGGGAAACTTGAGATACCCGTGAGTTGCCTATTCTGGCTGGATTCTGGAATGATTCGCTTTGGCCGCGTCGATAAAGTTCCTTTGATTCCAGCCACCTCCCACTCCCGTACGTTCAACGGCAACCTGTCAGGTGTGCACTGCAGATGGAGCCACACTTCACTACGGTGGCATGGTGTGTGGGTGAGTAGGCGCTAGCATTCTCACCGTTTTTTCAAATTCTCGCTGAAAACAGCTGTAGTCATGAGTTTTACTTCACTCTTTCAAATTACGATGAGTAGCTTTGGGTAACTGAGTGCTAATTAATTTTGTCAAAGCTAATCAGCAGCATACACGTACATTATTGTATATCCTTCATAAAGAAAAGGGGTTTGTTTGGTCATCTACGTGCTCTTTTTGCCATATTAAATAGTGGCAAAGGTTAAGAGCGGAAGATCTAGTGTATGGTGGATGGTACCGCAAAAAAAAGTTTTCAGACATTATAGGACCTGCCAAAATGCTAATGCAGAAAGTATAATGTCTTATAATTATGCTATATGGTCCACCTTGCATGCGTATAACACAAAACAGCTATCCAAGAAAACCATTTGAAATCTTAGGCGGTCTAACCTGCATTCCAATATGTGCTTGTCATACCAGACTAGTGTTTCGATGTTGCTTGTCTGGGTGCTAATTTGAGAGTTAGAGGTCATAATAAAAAAA